TATTTTGCAAAGCAAGACGTTCAGTATTATTTGAATGGATTAAAGGGGTGGGAGCATCGCTGGAAAAAATGTATCGACTTAAAAGGAGACTATGTGGAAAAATAAAATTGAATTTGAACGAAAAATTACTTGTTTCTATGTTAGGCTCAAAACTTTTCAGACGACCCTCGTATATTTTTACGCATTTTTGCGCTTTCTGTGCTACTTTCATGATAGATATACACAACAAAATGAAGAAATTGCGGATGTATAATTCAAATCTGCAATTGTTACTGAAATTTATGAAAATTTACAGGACAACTATTTGTCATCCTCAAACATACTTTTTAAACTTAAAGACTTACCAATAGAAAACTAATCAATAAATTGACTTGAAATTTTCACAAACAATGTTTTAACTTATATACTTGATATTAGTATATTAGGCGAAAACCCGAAATCGACTTTTGGCCACTTTTTCCGGTCTCCTGGCCTACTATGCGGTGTCGTAAAAGTTGGTTTTGTACTTTTTCCATATTTTTCCGTGGCCGTAGGCCGGCAAAGATAAAGTTGAGTCAACTTTTCGGTTACGGTCAAAATCAACAGATTTTTGCCGGCTTTTATAAATGACAGTATGAGGTTCCTATCCTCCAACTTTTACGGCACCAGCCTAAGTTAACGGTTACGACCTATTATAAACCGGCCCTTAGGCCGGCGTCCCATGGAGCGGAAATTTACAGCGAAACCGTAAAATCTGTAACCGTAAAACGTACCATAGAATTTATCAATTATTAACCAAGAATTAACCAATCGGAGCAGAAAGTGTTTAACAATTCTAGACTGTGATTGGCTAATTTTTGTGGTACTTCTTAAGATTACTGTTACGGAAAGTGTGTACAGCAGCCTAAAGCTTAAGATTCACGCCTTAAAATCTCATTGTAAACGCCGCTTAACGATAGCATGTTAGCGCACTAATATCGTTGCTCATTCTGAATATGGGTCTAGTTCGTTTCAGTTAAATTTTTTGTACGATTCATCTTTTCTTTTTTTTTCTCGAGGAAAAGAAAAAAAAAGGAAACGGTGCAAGGAATTTAACTAAAGAGAATAGACCTATAAAGGTCTATTAAAGCCCAGTTCCACCAATAAGTTTATTCGCGTCACATGCTCCAACATGCTTCAATATGCTTCTACCAAAGCTCCTACTTACTCCAACGCGCTCATTTGGATGCGAACAATACTAATGTAAGATTAACTCGATTTAATTTACTTTTTATCTTTTCCTAACTCCAAGAATTAAGAAAAGATAAACATTAAACCGAGTCATCAACAAAGATAAACATTAAAAGATAAAATTAAGTTAAACCGAGATTAAAGTTAAATTTTACGTTAGTGGAATCGAGTTTAACAGAAGGTCTTAGGTTAGTCATCAATTGTCAAAACAGAGAAAAGTAATAAAGAGATTTGTATGATTATGGCAATGAAATACAAACATATTAAATGAAAATCGACCGACAAAATAATGAAATGTAAAGTTGTAGAAATTATGCCGATTTGGCAGAAAGAGAGAGAGAGAGAGAGAGAGAGAGACTAATTATAATTTAAGACTAATTATACGAAACATGAATGGGTACCTTAGGATCTTTCTCGTAATAATGCTGCTGGGTGCGAATCCATCGTGATACGAGATTGTCCTTGACACTGTGGGCCAAGGCGAAAAAGTAATCGCGACTCGTGGCGACGTTGCGATCCTTCACTAGGGTGTAGTGAAGATGCCTATTAAATGTCTTCTTAAAATTCCCAACGTTCTCAACGTCAACGATGCCACGCACCGAAATCTGCTTTCTCTTTTCATGATCGCTGTTCGGAATTGACATGACGGCGATTTAATCGGCTCGATTACGTGTAGTGCGACAAAACTGTGACGATAACGTGAACCCGACCAACACAAAGCGGATCGCCAAAGGCGAATGATGCGCTGCCAGTTCGAAAGGCAATGATCACCTTGCTTCAAGGTGACGCATGCGCTCTAACAGTTGCGTACTTACATACACGTGGCGGCAACAGTTTGAATCGATAAAGGAACGTTTTTAACCCAGCCGTTTCAGTGACAAAAGGAATCACGTGATGACTTTAGATGCGTTCGGGAGATGCTATTAGCGCTACTTGTATTCATTCTATTCTTGTTTTACGTCTAATAAACGATGAAAATAGAATGACAAATAGCGCGCACTAATAGTGCCTCCTAGCGACCCTGGCTGCTTTCCTTTTAGGAGGCACAGTCGACACAAGTGTCGTTCTATCTTATGGCGAATTCGATTGGAAGCACTGGTGCATATTAAAGCCGTTGTACACTGATTTAATTTGAGTATAAAAATGAAATGCAAATATTTCGAATTATGAAATACATATTTTATCTAATAGTACAATTTATAGTAAATTTTATCTAATAGTACAATAAAATGTATTGGGTATTTCAAGATTTAATCAATTTCTATATTTATTTATAAATATATCTTTACTTATTTATAAATATATCTTTTTGTTATTTTGTGTACGACGGCTTTAATGTGCATCAGTGCGCATTGAGTGTATCCAATCGAATTCGCTATTAGTCACTCTCTGAATGGCTGCGTTCAGCAGACTCAACAGTTTTGCAACCATTTTATGAATGGCTGCGTTCAGCAGAGAAAGCAGCTTTGCAACTGTTGTAAAATTCTTCAATATGATTGATTCTTGCTTTTGATTCCTTATAGATCTAAACGTATAAACCAGTCATATTGAAGAATTTTACAACAGTTGCAAAGCTGCTTTCTCTGCTGAACGCAGCCATTGTCTGCTGAGATAGGACCATTCTTCTAGATCTAAAAGTATGATCCAATTAGCGCGAAGGAAACTTCCAACAGTTGCAAAACAAACGTTCTGCTGAACGCAGCCAATGTCAAGAAGGATAGAACGATGTGTCGACTTGTGTCGATTTGTCATCAAACGGAAAGCAGTGCCTCTAATCAGAGTCGCGACATTAGATAGCCAGTTTTGATTGGTTCGCCATTTTTCAGCAATTCCCGCCTATATTCGAATTGTATTCGTCTATATTGTAGGAATGGACGATGCGCGTATCGATGCGATTCCTAAATTCTAAATTCTTTCTACTGTACAACGGTTTTTCTTTCCTTTTTTTTAAATAAATTCTCTATTCGAAATTGTTTCGAAGAAACTTTCTACAAAAAACATGTTTGAAACTAAAAAAAATCTTACTATTATAAATGTAGAAATTTATCATATTAAATTAGAATTTTGTGTAAAATAAGTATTGAGTACATTAAGTATTTTTTAAACTATCTCAGGGAATTCATTAGAAAAAAATATCTCAAATGCACAAGAGATATAGGATAAATACGAAAGAACAGCAGTTATTTTATTTAATATCGTTTATTTATAAATTAATGCGGATGCGAATGCAGATGCAATAATGAAAACGACAAGAAGCATATTATGCATGTTACAATTCACATTCTTAACATTTTGATATCGGTCCCGATAAAAACACGTGTTCTAATAATTGTAGATATTATGATATAAAGTTGCGTCTTTATCGTTTACCGTTCAATATATTTCGTGCTTTTTTATTAAGATCATTTTCTTCGATAGTCGTCCCTTCCATTCATATGCACACATGCGCATTTGTACACATATACATACGTACATTATACATGAGCATATGCATATACGATGTGTATATATATATATATTTGCGAGTGCGTACATAACGATATAATTACAATTAATGATGCAGCAGCAATAATATTATGCAAACGTCAACGTCATTGAGAGACAGATACAATATACACGTTCCTGCATAATTTAATTCATTATTAAATCTCCATTTAATTCTCTCAAACACAACAACTGAAAACATCAAGATGTTAGGGGATATCGCTGTAAATTAGATAATTATAAGATCTTTAAAGTCGCTGACGAATAAATTCTATTTATACGTTGGACATCTCGTATTCGCCACTCTTTTCTATTCTAAATCTTTAAAGTATCACTATCTTTTCCGACATCCCCATTTCTCATTACATCTTGTCGTAAAACGATTATTTTGGCGGCGTCCGATCCGCGAAATAATGATCCAAGCGAAATACGACGTTCCGACGAAGACAGGACTAAGATAAATCACATACAGCCTTATTATTCATTCTCTCTCACATATTCATAAGCATTCATTCTACTTTTTTTATTTTCTCATTTGCTTTCATACTTCTCTCTCTTCGCGAAGAGAAAAACAAAGGACATCATCGGATAGGTAAAAACACGAAGTTTATGATAATCGTAAAACACATTTGTCAAATAGTACGACGAAAAAGAAGGAAGGGAGAGACGAAGGGCTGATTTCATCCCTGAAAGCAGCCCAGCGCACATTGCATTGTTTGCTGACTAAAAACATGCCGTCGCTTTTTATCGTAATAATAAACGATTAATTAATCACTAAGTGTTATTTTTCTCTTTCTTTCTTTCTCTCGCGATGTTTACTTCCTCAATAAGAATTGCTTTCGTGATTAGAATGTCGATGTACGCGTGCACGATCCTTGCCGACCTCAAAAAATTAATATCCTTCTCCGGAAATACGACGGCCAAGCTCGCAAAGAACTCCCACCGTCAATAATTCCCATCTCCCGTGATTACAAGGTTCAATCCTCGTTTTAATAATGCAAGTATTCTTCTCGATGGTGTATTAGTTTTCTTACACGCGCTTTTAAACTCTTCTCTTACTTTTCACGTTTCTTTCGTTTGCTTCTAACTTAAACTTTTCTATATTTGCTGTTCTCAGCTGTTCGTTGGATTGTTGCCACTCTGATCTTCTTTTATTCTTCCTTTATTGGCTCAGTCTTTTTGCCAAGAGGAATTGCCGCCTTTACTCTAAAACAGTCGAATAATTTATTTTTAAGAAACATTACAGCAAAGATACAAGAAGCAATAAAAAAATAATTCAACGTATTTATTCTCTTTCCATAATTTTATTGGATAGAAATAATATTATATGTATTGCAAGAATTGAATTTGCGTATACGTAATTTTGTTAAACGTTCTTACAAGGTGAAGATATATATTTTAAGTTCACAATTTTCTCTATTACGAATACGTAAAAAAGATTTTTATATTATTTGTCGTATTTCTATTGTTCGAAGAACGTAAAAATCTACAATTATATTTGTTTATAAATTCAAATTTGAAATCAAGAGAATATCACTTTTAAAATAAATGAGTGACCAGAGTTATATTCAGTCATGATAGGTCTTTGTGCCTAATAATATGTGAATTTTTACAATTTTCCAATGCAAGTAAATTATGCGTCGATAATTTGTTTTATCACAAAAGCATATTTTCTCTACAATGAGTGCATTCTGTACTACCGCCCACTGAGCGCTCTTGCACCTATTTGGTGTGTATTTTTGGATACAATGAAATATGCCAATCAAATGCAAGAGCTCACTTGAGCGCTCAGTAAGCGGTATAGATACTGAACGTCCCTATTATATAATTACAAGTAAACTGCGTATGCATGAAAATAAATTTAACTAAAGATTTACATAGTAATATGACATGTTTTATATTTTTAACGTAATAAATAAGAAAAAATTTTTTACGTAATAAAAGAGAAAAACTTATTGTATTTTGTTTTCTTAGAAAAAAATTTCCTTCGTAAAATTTCTCATAAATTGAGGAAATCTCTGTTCAACTCACTTGGTGGTAATTTCACTGAATTTTGTCTGCACCAAGGCCAAATTCTGATCGATCTGCTCCTGATTCGTTTCATAGACCTTAGGCAGTGTGAAGAGAGCAACCACTCCTGAAAGATAAAATGGACCGATTGTTGAATTGATTCTATGCAGAGTTGTAAAATATAGAGTAATGTTACAATAAAAGAATTTACCGATTATAATAAGAGTCATGCCATTGAACCAAGAACCCACGTAAGTGAGACACCACAGCAAAACGCTAAATTTAAGAGAATCGACGAAATCTTCAACGAGGAAAAGTCTGCGCAATTCACTGACAGCTGCATTAGCATGTGCAACTGCGACATCTGCGACTTCGTGCACTTTCTCAGCTGGTAATGTCAGATCCAGATCAAGAATGTCTCTGCAATATAGATAACAGTTTAATTAAAGCGAAGTTTATTCGAAATTATCGTAAAGAAATTAGCTAGATTGTTTCAATATTTAAAATATTTAAATATTATATTAACTTTTTACACATCCGTGTACGAGTTATATTTTATAAATTAATAAATACATATTAGAGAGAGAAGCTATTATCAATGTCGTCCGATATTTTGAAAGTCATCCCGTTCTATGATAATTGCTTTTCAATAAAATTATGCAATTATATTCATTTTAAAAATATGTTAAAAAATCATCAAAGTATAAACATCAACAAAATAAAGAATACATACACGATGTTTTTAAAAGATTTTTCATCATTTTATACTTACTTGAATGGATGACCGTCCGAGGTCTTCTGAACTGCTTGAAGAACAGTTTTGTAGATACGGAAAATAATGGTACCGCTAAGGGCAAGAAGTGACATATAAGCCAGCACGCTAATCAGACTAAAATAGGCCAATGACAGAAGTACGCCCAGTATCGTGCCGAACACAATTCCTGACTTTTTTGGATCGCGCCAGTATATCAGAGCTGCCACTGTAAACAGAAATAAATAAAGACGTTACAAAAAAAGATAGAAGAAAAACCAAGTTAACATAAGATCATAAATACCTTACTAATAATCCCTGTTTTTCTTTATTTAACATTGTTAGCAAATTAAGACTGTATTAACTAATACGGGACTATACACATATGTAATCCGCGTTTAAATAACTTTCCTTTTTATAATAATAAATATCACTTCTATATTGCACTACAATAATATCGCTGTTGGCATTATCAGATCCTTCAATTAATTTTAAGTAAAATCAATTTTTTAAGTTTTATTTCAATAAAAATTTGTTAAAAAATAAAGTTTATAACGGAGTTGCCAATAACATTGCGATGTTACCTTTATTGACAGTTACAAATTTTATTTTTTAAAAAACTTAAAGATATCAAGATATCTTTCATTTCGGTTGATAATACTAGTCAATAGTAGGATGACCAGACGTCCGGTTTTTCCTAGACATGTACTTCTTTTGAAGCGTTCGGGGATGTCTGGCCATTCCGGCCGGGTTTTCAGCAACCGGGGTGTATTCTTTTTAGTACTCATTTTGAGAGAAAGCGAGGGACCGGAAGTTATTAAGCCCATGAAATACATAGTAAGCTAATCACTAGATCATTACTACACGAAAAAAAATACAGCTGAAAACTTCACTGATTCAGCAAATCTACAGTCGTAATATATAGACAGTCAATTTTCTATGGTAAAGCAGCAAAGTTGACAGCTGAATAACATTAGCGATTTGTTAAACCATCAAATCTTCTTAGTTACAGATATTAAATTCGCGCAGTAAGTTATAGGTTTGCTGTACCACCCAATTAATTTTTTTTCCGTGTATATATATTTGTGACAAAATATTTGAAAATTATTAGGTATTATTATATAGGATGTCCCATTTTAAATAACGCATTAAGATTTCTCGGAAACTATGATAGATACGGAGAAATGTATCAAACGAAAGTTGTATGGTTCGGAAGGAAACATAAGAAGGTACTATTGATTTGATTTTGAGTGGCGTGGTTAAGGTCATGTCAAGGTCACTTGGAATTTTTTAATGGAATCCCCTTTTTTTATTACATTCTCGTAGTTTATCTCAGGAGCTTTTCAAAACACTATAATAACATTCTTTTTTATTAAAAATTTTTCGAATTGTAAGGCTTGAAAGTTACAGTACTATATCGACATTAGCATTATCTATCCAAAGTGTCCGACCGACGGCTAAAATCTTTTGAATGTTGTTCAGGATCATTACTTGGGTAACATTTATCAAGATCAAAACCATTAGAGGGTGGTTCCTCTTATTTTCATTTAGGTAGTTCCTGTAGGTAGGTTTCAGGTGGTTTATTTTCATTTTTGCACTAAAAATTCATTTTTACGCTGCAGAATTTGCGTCTTTGTGCCTAACACGTCAAATTTTCAAGATAAATTGGGTTATATATCGAAAAAATGACATGTTTTTGGCCATTTTCATGACTTTACTAAAAACTCATCAATGTGTGTCATCATAAAGTACTATTTTTTTCTCTCAAAATCCATTTTGAATCGATAGCGTATTTTTACTTGAGATATATCTGATGGTGGGGAGCACAGGTATGTCATGCTTTGAAGTTGTACCATCCGCTTGTCTGTTTAAAAAACATTAATGTCATTCTTTGAAATTATATCCCTATCCTTAATATACATCGATTTTATCTTGCGGCCACGTTCCGATTCATCGCGCAAAAATACATAGGAAACTTCTAGTACATCTTTAAAGAAAAACCTTGCAGACCTGTGTTAATTGGAGGAATCATATTATAAAAAAAATAATACAATTACATTTAAAAAAAAAATCGTAACCTTCATATGATCACAAAAATCGATTTTTTCTAAAATTAATTTTACATTAAATTTCTTTCCTTTCATCAAGTCATACAATTTATTTTGTTTAAAATGTTTTTCACATCGTTTATATTTTTCGAGATATTTGCCTGTGGTAATTAAAATGAGATACCTCGTACAAATTACGCCAAACAAAAATATTTTTTCACACATTTAAATGTCAAACAAAACAAAATTTCGATTTTTTGTTTAATTTATTAATCTACAATCTTTTATAATTTGAGAATCAAAATTCGCAGAATAAAATTCTATTCCTAAATTAATATGTACTTTAATACGTATATTTAGTATATATTTATATATTAAATACGTTATGCATGCACGTGTGAATATTCCATTTTTAAAAATAATTTTCATATATAATAATATTATGAGATACGTAAAATTATGAACAATCCATTGTGAATTTATCTAAATTATCTAAAGCAGACTTCATAACGATATAAACTTTCTTGAATATATCACAGCCACAATAGAGGGAAGCTTTATGATCATGATACGAAAAAAATAGGATCACTACCACACGTTACCAACCATATGCTCCCGGATCAACGATCGCCAGCATGCCAGGCTAGCTATACTTCCGCAATTGTAGAGATGCATAGAAACGCAGAACTTACCACGATTGCGCTCCGGGAGAACTTGCACATGTCCTCTCTGAATATTCCTTCGTACCATCCTTATAAAGCGTCACGGGGACCTTTAGAGAGGGTATCTGCGCGGTCAGTAGTCACACACGCGACAATTCCAATATTATTCAGTTCAGGATACAGCCACGCGAGAGAATAGCCTCACTGAAGCAATGAAGAAGGAAAGGGAGAGAGAAAGAGGGGGAAAAACGGTACGGGAAGAAGCTGGCAAACGCGAACAGGGACGTAACTATCCAGGCGATCAACTCTTGTCTCAAAATTGAACAGAAGCAGCTGCTTTAAATTCTGTCGGAAAAGTTGCAGATATGATACAAAATTTGTTACATTACAACATTTCAGTCAAGTGCTGATGAAAATGCAAAAAATTGTCAACAAAATGTGATGGATTAGTAATAGAAATCGAACAGAATTCGATGCCAGTTATGTTCGATTTTTACTATCGATATTAAATCTGTTTTCTATAGCTGAACTAGTGTACACTTTTGGAACTTAAAGTGAGATAGGTACAATATATGTTTGGTATTTATTGAAAAAGCGAGACAGTTTTAGTGCAGCCTAGTGCAGGAACAGAAAACAGACCAATTGTCATCGTGTTACATTTGCACTAACTACAATACTACCAACCTGAATAGTTAGATTTGTCGGAAATAGATTTTGCAAAGTGTCTACTACACCTACATTTCGTCAATAGAATGTCTCAGCAGATTTAAGGAAGCAGACTACGCATTGAAGGTTGAGGTTGAAGATTGAAGATTGAAATTTGACTAATAAGGACAAAGAAATTTTAACTCCTTTCGTTTCGATTGGTCAAATTTGAATTTTTCAATCTTTAATCTCAATATTCAATGCGTAGTCTGATTCCAGCCTAACAGAATGTACTAACCAGTATATGATGATAAATTGACCGTAGAAACCAAGTATAATTTGCAATCGTTTCGTATTTAATCGTTATCCTAAAAAGACTCAATACAAAACATAGTTTTTCTTATACGAATATCAAAATATAATAATTATAAGATATGTTATTATAAGACATATTATAAGATATATTATTTAATTCAATTATTCAAATTTAATATGTTATTTTATTTTAAATATTAGATACGATGTAAAGACTAGGGACCGATATTATTCAACTATTCAATTTTAATGTTATTTTATTTTAAATGTAGTTACAGTATATAAAGGCCAGTGATAGATACTCAACTTCCTCTACATTTTAATAAATTTGTCAACAGCAATGTAACCCAAACAAATATTGTTAATTAATTTGATGTATACGCGAAAAGAGTTTAAATACTAATTTATCAAAAATTATTATTTGTACTCGAAAAGAATTTAAATACTAGTTATAATCCCGTAGTACACTAAGCTTCAATTACTCGCTTTGTATTGATCACACCTTAGATAAATTACATGAAAACTTTGAAATCGAACACTAAACAAAATCAATTTTGAATGTTATACGTAAACGAATAGCTCGAAGACAAAATAAAAATGACAATATTTAAGCAACGTTACTAGCGTCATCTGTATTGTTATTTTAAAAAAAAGTTTCGTTCAGAAATTACTGGAGATACGATTTAACCGTCGGTACAACTTAGTCAAAAAACACTCTTCTCTATATACAATTCTGTAATACTAATATTATAACACTATATTTTATAATATATTTAAGAAATGTTTATTTATATTTATGAGTTCAAAAAATCGATAAATTTATTTTAATTTTTAATTTCTTTCTAAAAGTTATAATAATTACAAAAAATTTTTCTTAATATAGATAAAAAACTAAATTATTCATTGTTAATAAATTTATAGAAGAAAATAGGAGCTAAAATTAATCAATCGCGTAATACTCGCTTTAAATCGAATGCGCAAAAGTGATAAAATAACTTTGCCGCATTGCGGATCTGTGATACAGATTCTGTAAAGAGTAATTCTTTTACAATGAAAAATATCTAATTGCATTAAGATAACTCCGGTATATACGCCGCACATAATAAAAACTTAATTTATTATAAGTATTATTTACTATGTTTAAAGTAAATGAACTAACTATACTAATAAAAACTTTGTGCTGTCTACTACTATGAAAAAAATGTTAGAAATCCGAAATATTTATTTTTTGTGTATAAAAAAAGAACTTTTTTAAACCCCTGCATTTTTGCTGTATATCCCATAAGATGGGATATATGGCTACTCATAGGTTTTTTTGGATGGGATGTACGGTTCACGAAAAATTTACAAATAATGATAAATATGTATGTGAAGTAATAGATAACAATTACAATCTTTTTATACATACAAGGGTTATGATATGAAGTGCATATTTCAAGTAACGCATTTATTGGAAATCTAATAGATTCAATCAATACGTCAGAAATTAATAAATCAAAATTCTCGTAGAAAGAATAATGAGCATAATTAAATTCTTTTCTTTTAAATATATCAGAATT